AGTTCAAAATGAATTACACTGGGCTAACATCAAGTTGTTGGCAGGGCTGCATCCCTTCTGGAAGCTCTAGGGGGACAATCTGTTTCCTTGCACCTTCCAGCTTCTAGAGGCTGCTTCTGTTTGTTTCCTTATGGTTCCATCTTCCAGGCCCGCAATGCAGCATTTTCAAAGCGTGTCCTCTCCCCCCGCCCCGTCTCTCTCTCTCTCTTTCATGGTCACGTCCCTTTCTCTGACGCTGACCCTCCTGTCTTCCTCTTATAAGGACCCTTCTGATGATACCAAACCCACTGGAATAATCGAGGTGAATCTCCTCATCATCTCAGGATCCCTAACTTAATCACATCTGCAAAGATCCTATTGTCTTTTAACACAGTTTGGGGGTGAAAATCGTAGTGGGGATGATTTCCCAGCCTACCACAGAAGTACATGCTTTTGAAGGGCCTATTTCTGTACTGGGAAATATATGCCCTCTTGCTTGCATCACAGTTTTTGCTTTGAAACAACTCATTAGGTGCTCCCCTCTCCCCTTGACAAGGTTTGTAGACCACTGGCAAAGTCCAAAGGCAGAAGCTGCCCATTTTATAGCCTTTGGAAGCGTTACCCCTGAGACCTCTGGCTAGAGGCACATAGCCTTTTGCAACCCACGCCTTTCCATAATTCCCACCACCAGAAACTCTGGCCAGATTTCCTTTTCTACCTTGCAGTTATAGGCAGAATCCTATGGGCAATAAGCAGTGGAATTAGATTTATTGCAATGGAATTAGTTTAGCAGAACTCCTTCACAACACTGTCCCATAGAATTATCTGGAATGATGGATTTGTTCTATGTCTGCACCAAAAACTGTAGCCACTAGCCACGTGTGGCTCTCAAGCAACTAACATGTGGCTAGTGTGACCGAGGAACTGAAATTTTACTTTAAATTAACTTCAATATAAATAGCAACTATGGGTGGTGGCTCTTATATTAGGTCAGTGATATTTTAGAAGAATCATATTTGTAATGCAAAGCATCAAGACAAGTAAGAACTGTTTTCAAAAGCCAGGTTCAAGGTGAGAGAGGCTGGTGCTTGTCTGGGTGCAATGAAACAAGTTACTTCGGCGGCCCATGTGTGGTGGAGATGCTACATAATAATCGCTACTGTGCATTGCTCTCCAACTCCCTATTCAGTAATGTGAAGCCAGCCACAGAGCAAAGTTTACACCATGGGAATCAGCATATTTTATAAATCAAGGCTTGACCCTTTCTATCCTCGGAGAGCTGTGTTGTTTGACATTGACCAGCACACCACCAGGCATCTGCCAATTTGAGCAGACAGGCCTACTGAGTGGCCTTAGCACAATCTTGGGTTTCCTGGCACCCAAAGAGAAAAAAGAGACACAGCCACACAGTTCTTAGTGAGGAGAAGGAAAACCCACGTAGTTTCTTAGGGGAAGCAAGACTTCTTTTATTCCTCAGACCTATGCAGAATCATTTCTCAGCTTTCCTAGGATAGATGATGTGTTTGACAACTCCCCTGCAAAACACAGGGATAGTAAAGGCATTGCTTGTCACATCAACCAAGGGTGGCCCTGTGGGTAGATGTCAGGGTAATTTGGTCCAGGTTTGCAGCTTTTAGAGGTCCACTGTGATCTATAAACATAGCTCAGAGTGCTCAGGAAGGGCTGGGTTGCATGGTCTTATATTCCATGCCATTTACTTATTCCCTAAATCGTTTTTGACATTGGCCATGTGCATCACATCTAGCTAGGATGAAGGAGGAATTCATTCATTCATTCATTCATTCATTCATTCATTCATTCCAGACAATGTGTTCAGGTGTAAAAAGCTCAGGACACAAAGATGAAGTAGGGCCCTCACTTCCAGGTTTTATAAGACTCACATTTACAGAATAATTTACCTGATACTCAGGGCTGAAATTTGGAGGAGGCAAGAAAAACTTTTTTGGGGGACCAAAATTGAGGAGGGTGTCAAAAAATCCAGTAATCAAGATAATATATTATTTATTAAAATAAAAATTAATGCAAAACTTCACAATGCACAAACTATCAAATATAAAAACAAAGGCAGACTGTTGTTTGTTTGAGGCCCCCGCATTACTGGACAGGGTAGTAGTCATTTCTAATTAGCCAAGCATTACAGGTTTTCCCTAAATGGACTTATATGGGTGACAATGGCATGCAAATAAACTGAGCAACGTGGGCTTTATATGTAGTGTGTGTGTAGAGGGGTGTTGGTTGGTTGTAGAGTCTTTATTAACATTTTCCACTTGGTTCAAAATCTTGGAGACTATTTGGAAAATTGTTTATAAGGGTACACACTTTTCCTTGTGTCTCGGGTTCCAATAAGGTACTGTTTCCTCTTTCCAGCTGGCTCACTTAAGCCTCACAACGCCCCCTCAAGGTGAATACTATTTATTACTCCTCCTCCCCCTCTCCTGTTTTGCAGAAGGGAAAATGAAGGCTCCCAGAGGCCTGGCAAAAGAGCACCAACAGTAATACTGCAATATAGTCATGGAACACATTGAGGTGGTGTATGATGACAGGTACTAATTTTTGGTTGAGAACATTTGGGGACAATTTTAGTTCTGGTGCAACGAAGGTTGTGTCCTGGAGGCTGAGCAAAAGGCTGGCATTTAAAGTCAGGTAAACTCAGCTTCCTCCAAGGGCTTTGGGTGACCAAGTGATTTGGGTAGAACCTGGAGAATGCTAAGCGAGGGTCTCACGGGCCTGTGACTTAGCAGAGGGGTTAACAGGACGGTCAGGGACAGTGCCTGGGGAGAAGCCAGGGTACCTCCACATAGGACTCGATCCGATGCTGATGTCAGGGCTGCCTGTGAGTCTGTCTGAAAGATGGGGACAGAACATTTTCCTTGCTCTATTGCTGTGAACCTACTTCCCCAAGAATTAAATGACATCCTGGGCATCAATGTGCTCTGTACGCTGCACATTTGCTGTATTAATTTAAGGGGGCTTGAGAAACACATCTGCTTCAAAAATACGTAGTGCAAGTGCATTCCCAACTTATGAACATTTCCCACCCACCTCTGCGCCTGAGTCGCTGCACACTCCTCCCCAGAGAAAGCCCCTTAGCAGTTTCTTGTGTCTCTTTTTGGCAATAGTGTCCTCACAGACAAGCACTTCGGCTCCCATGTGCCAGAGCACCACATTGAAGGGATTTATGGTGAGCAGAGCTTCCAGCACATTATACAACGGGGAATGCTGCCAAGTGGCTGGGAAATGGAACATTTTGGACATCAAATTATACTTCATAAGTAATTCTAAATCAGAGGTTCTCAAGCTCAGCCCTAGTGATAGTTTGGACTGGACCATTCGTCATCATGGGGGACAGTCCTGTGTGCAGAAGCATGTTCAGCAGCAATCCCTGATCCTCACCTACTGGGTGCCAGGAGCACACCACTACTCCCTCCCAGTCCCCAAATGTGGCAGCTGAAAATGTCCCCTGAGGAAAGGGAGCAGCTGTTCTACCAGGCTTGGTGGTGCACACCTGTAATCCCAGCACTTGGGAGGCTGAAGCAGGAGGATCGCCATGAGTTTGAGGCCACCTTGGGCCACATAGTGAGTTTGAGGCCATCCTGAACTACAAAGCAAGACCTTGTCAAGAAAAAAGAAAAGAAAAAGAAAGAAAGAGCCACTCTTCTAATTCTTGTGTGACATTTGCAGAAAAGTGGCAGATAATTAAGAGAAAAAAATGTAAAGGATCCAAAAGGATTAAAAAAAAATTAGGAATCTGTGAAGAAAACAGAAGGAGCCAGGATAGAGAAATTAAAAGTCAACAGTTATTCCATAATTAATGCAGAACCTTTTCCTAAGGGGACTAACCTCCTAGCTCCAAATAGGGGAGAACAGGTAGTAGGTTTAAGGGAAAGAGAGAACGAGATGATTATACCCATTCCTGAAGATGGTCATGAGCAGAATAATATAGTATAGCTAGGAACTGTTCTCTCGGGGCTTTGTGGTTATGATTTGAAACTCTTCAAGTGATTTTAGTAAAAAATGTTTATTCCATGACCATGCCTGCTATGGTGCCTTTAAGAAAACCTTTTTCTTATTACAAGAGAAGAGAATTAGCAGTATGTGCTAACTGTGGAAAAATTAGATTATGTAGCAAAATTAAAAAGAGGAAAAATTTAAAACACCCTTAATCTCACTAACCAGTGAAATACCACATTTGATATTTTAGTGAATTCCTTTCCTAATTATTTTCTTTGTCTATATATGAAGGTTTATTTGTAGATAGAAATATATTATACCCAGGTAGAAAAAATGGGTCAATCCACACATAATGCTTTGGAGCTGTTTTAAAAAATGTAATCCACTGCCAATGTCTTTTCTCATCCATAAGTATCTACCACCATATTACGATATTCTTGCAATGTTTGGAGCTCTTAAAATTTAACACGTCCTCTAGTTTTGGAGATTTAAATTGCTTCCAGTCCTTTGAGATCATAATATTTCAGCAAATTTTCCTTAGTTGTTCTTTGCACACCTGTACTACCTTCCCCGACTCAGGGCAAATTCCTGGACCTAAATAGCTGGAGTAAATAATATGCACAGCTGTTATGGGCCCAGTGTAATTGGTCAAATTATGCATATTTTGTAAAGCTTTTCGTGGGAATTGCTTACCAGCCCACAAAACAGATGATTCAATCTACATTCTCATGGGTGGTACTGGGTTTTGGTTTTGTTTTTTAACCTTTGCCAAATTGAAAATTTGATAGATGAGGGCAGAGGGTGTTAGAAGAGTTATTTCTTTCTGTAGAAAATTGCATGGCCCAGTTTTAGGCCTTTTTAAAACTGTCTTTTGCTGCAATTTTTTTTAAATTGAGCAATCACTTGGAAAAAGAGAAGGTGAAACTAACCTGTGTGTGTGTGGCGGGGGGAAGTCTGTCCTCTGATGAGGAAGGTATCTGTATTTAGCCCTTTCAGCCAAGCGGAACGAGAGCCAAGCTGTTCTTACTGTCCTTGGGTTCTCCACCGGCTGCAGGGCCAATGTTACGCACCCCCCACCTTCCATGGATTCGGAGAACTGGGATCCTAGTAGCCTCTGAGGGCGGGGCCGCCTGTTTCGGGGACGCTGCGTTCTCCCTGGACCTGGACCCGACTGCACTGAGTGTAGGAGGTTGAGGACTTTGGCACTGCGGGCCTCCGGAGCCTAGAGGTGACCGACGCGACTGGGCTGGGCTGAGTGGCTGGGCCAAACACGTGACGCTCCCAGCCTGCCTTCTGGGCTTCTGGGCGCCTGAGGCTGAAATTGGCGTTTGCCTCTGGTAGGAAAATGAACTTGTCGGTTTCCGCCTGCATCAGACCCTCAACCCAAAGGAGCGGGGGATTGCGGTAGCATTTTAACTTGCTATCTCAGGAATCTGACAGCGAAAGGTATGTTGGTTATCATTCACAATAACAGACCTAACAGGAGTGACCTAGAAAGCCACCACCACTTTGTCGATTAAAAAAAAATTGGTCTGGAAAATAATAGATCTCTTTGAGAGGCAAGGGCTGTCTTTATCCCCAAATTAGAGATTGTCTTTCTGAACAGAAATCTGGTTAATCTGGAGGGATGGTGGTAAAAGGGCCAGGGTTAAATATAGAAGGACACGAAAGCTGCTGGAATAAATAGCAAGTAAACTTAACTCCAGTCTGCTTAGAAAACAATCTATTTCACAATTCTTTGGGGTGTGAGCAAAGGAAATGATAAAATTGTGATTTAAAGTCCAGTGAAAGTAAATTAACCTACATGATACTGGAATATAAATAAAAAGTTTCTGCTTTTGTATTTTTACTTTTCAAAAACGTTTATGTGGTTTGCTGAAAGAAAAGTTTATATGTACTGCACATAAGTTTGAAATATACTAGGTCAAATTTATGAAATAATCACAGTTGGAATTTTCTAAGGCTTTGTAAGCAAAGCTGTTTCAGTTATAAATGAGAAATGTTGACATGTACATATTTTTGTGATAGTAAAATGACTCACTTCTTCAGAATGTGATTGAAAATTTAGAAAATGTGAAATAATGAGTTATTGTGAATTAGGTCATTCATTCCTGAAAGATTAAATACCTTACCAGAAGACATAAGATAATAAATACAGATCCACAAACAATTTTGCTCATGTAATGGTGCTTTATTTTAAATAGTCAAATTTTGAAGTAAGTAGTTTTGATATGTGGTGTCACTATTTTTTCCTTTGGTAAACACAAATTAATAGTGGAATGTAGCTATTGAGAGTAATTAAAGCAGTATTCGTCAGTGCAATTAGTATGATATTCCATAATGAATTGCTTAGAATTAAAGTTTTCCATGTAATATTTGACATATGACCAGAACATTGAATCTCTATGCAAAGTATGCCCATGTGTGCCTTATTTTAAGCGTCATTTTGGTTTGCACAAAATGTATTTCTCTACTGCATTTGATAAATACTAGTTTTAAAATAAAACACTAAATTGTATTTCCTTTTACTATAATCCGTTTATTGCTAGTTCTATTGAAATCCTATTACATGCTTGGAGTCTATAATAATTTGGATTATCTTCTGTGTGCTGTTTGTTTCCCATAATTCTTCGAGAAAGGCCAGGCAAGCTGAACACATCAAGCAAAACGCCCTAAAGGGAGGTCAGAGTAAGGTTTCCGTCCACTCCCAGCTCACCTCCCGGGACGCCCAGAGTCTCTCCCCACCGCTTAGCTCCAGGCTCTCTCCCAAGGCGTCACTTGGGAACGTGGACCCCGCCTCCCGGTGACGTCACGGCGTTCGCAGCCCTCGCGCGGAAGAAAGGATGCTCTAGGATGCTGTCCAGGTGGGCGGCCGCGCTGCGCGATGCGGCACTGCAGGTAAGGGGCCCGCGGCGCCCGGACGCCCTCCTCGGCGCCGGAAGCCGGTGTGGACGCTGCAGGTGGAGCTCCGGCCCGGCGCGTCGGCCTGAGCCCTGCAGCGCCCTGCCAAACAAAGTGGGACCTCTGGCTGCTGCGGTGCCTGCTGCCCACAGCTGCCCGCCTGCTGCTGCACCAGGCAGGGAGTGGCCTGGTGCAGGTCCACCACGCGTGACGCGTATCCACCTCGTGAAGGTGGGCTGGGGCCAGGTAGAAAGACAGGAGCTCTTGCTCAGAAGGGGAAAAAAATCTGGAATGACCAAAATACATCAGAGAGAAAGACAGAGAGAGGGAGAGAGGGAGAGAGGGAGAGAGGGAGAGGGAGAAGAGAGGAGAGGAGAGAAGAGGGAGATTTTAAAAAGATAACCACCAACCGTTTTCCCACTGTCATTGTGCTTCTTAAATAATAACATTACCGAGTCTCCTTACACGGGTTTGATCTCAGTCATTAGCCTGACTTCTTTCAAGGCAAAAGCTTGCTGGCGAATGGCAACTTCTTGGTTAGCAATATAAGGGCCAGATGTGCTATGTAAATCATTTTGCAGTATTTTGCAGGCATTTTTCCAACATTATTTTCCAGCATTTAAATGTATTTTTCTTCCAGGTGTTTTCAGTGGATTTAAAAATTGAATAAAATGAAATAAAATATAGCCTCCAAAGATAATGTGCCAGTGTAAGAGTCTGCTAAATCTCTAAGAACAAAAAGGTCTTTAGTGGGGTGTGGGGGTGGAGATAACACCAAACCCTGAGAATCTCCAGAGTTCTTAATTCCCTTGCTGAATAATTAGCTTGTTGAAGCAAGGGGCCTAATGACTCAGCTGCAGAAGGAGGGGGTCAGGTGACTCTTCAGTTCCAGACTGACAGGGTGTGTGTGTGTGTGTGTGTGTGTGTCTGTGTGTGTGTGTGTGTGTGTGATGGAATCTTGCCGACCCTGTTTACATTCCTTTCTCCTGGTCTGTAGCCAGGATATGTGTGGGCACTTGTAGAAGGTGAATGTGCCATTCTTTCCTGAAAATCTGACTCTCTGGAAGCTGAGGCATCAGAAAATTGTACTGAAACTCACACCATGAACGATTTGACCCAGCAGGCACTTCAGGGGGCTAGTAAAACAGAGCTATTTTCATTGACCATGAAGAAGGCATTTCTTTCAGTTTGGGATACCCTGATATGTTGCTGCAGTGATTCAATCATTTATTTATTTATTGGAATTTTCTTTCCTTGGTTCAGGTTGGCTACAAGGATGAAAATCAGTTAGGGATGTAGCTCAGTGGTGGAGTACATGCTTAGCATGCACAAGGCCCTGGGTTCCATCCCCAGCATAAAAAAGAATGAAAATCCCCAGCCTCGCCCCCTTATCACCCAGGCCACTTCCAGACCGAGTGAAGCAGATGACAGAGGCAGACATAATAGAGACCTAGATTCCACTTCTGACCTTATGGCTGTATAACCTTGGACAAGCCACTTTGTGTCATTAGGCCTCAGCTTTCTCATCTTCAGAGTAACAAAGGGTTTCTCAACTTTGGAACAGTTGGTATTTGGGACTGGACAACTGCTTGTCATGGGAGCTGTCCTGTACATTGCAGGGTGTTAAGCAGCATCTGTGGTCTCTGCCTACTAGGTGCCAGTACCAAGCCCCTCCTCCCAGTTGTGACAACCCAAAATGTCACCAGAAATTGCCACAAGTCCCCTAAGGACTCCAGTCCCCCAGGTTGAGAACCAGTGATTTAGATGTTCTTTTTCTCTCCATATCTTCTTTCCCCTATTTCCTCCTCCTCCCCCGTCCCTTCTTCCTCCTCTTCCTCATCTTCCTCTACTTCCTTTTCCTTCTTCTTTTTGCAATGCTAGAGCTGGAGCTCAGGGCCTCACATCTGCTAGGTCAGTGCTCTATCATCGAGCTAACCCCCAGCCCCTAAGATGATCTTTCCATGCTCTTCTGGCTCCAATGTTCTAGGATTCACTTTTCTATAATTTGTTCAATGTGAAGCCCTTGGTTAAAAATTTGATTCCTTTTAATAATGTCATATATATTGGAAAATACAGTGTGAAGACCTTTTAATAGTGAAGGTTTTCAGAATCACCTTCTATGAAAATCAGAGAGGGATGCTTTTATGCCATTTGTACCAAGGGCTCCAGCCTGGCAGAAAGAAAAGTTTCAGAGAAAGAGGAAAGAAGCCCTAGATGGCGGATGACCGCGTGCTGGAGCCTGTCTGGACACCTGTGCCCAGCAGTCCTAAGTGTGTCCTGTCCATATGCAGTCTTGGCTTGGGACAGACTTGCATCTGAGAGGCCATTTCCTCTTCTGCAAGAGCAGGAACAAGGGCCTGTGCTCAGAGGTGCTCTAAGGGTGAAAAGTGACAGACACAGTGCATTGGTGTCAAATGTGGCAAGGCCAGGAGGGTAGCAGTGTCCACACAGCTGGGAGACAGACACAAACTGCCCATAGGGTCACCACCTGGTATTCCCTCACGGGTAATGATGGCACATTGAAGCCTTAGAACAAGACTTGTGGCTAAGGATCTGGCTTTGGTGCTTACAAGAGCCCCAGAGCTGCCTCACTTTATTTCTCAGAGCAGTTGCCAGACATATAACACAGGGCCAGTTGTTCTTGCTCGCCTTGCTTCCCTGGCTTTTTGGGGGACCATATGGAAAGTAGACGGTCTGCAAGCTGGGAAGCTCTGGAGAGACATGAAGCAATGATGGCAGTGGCATTGCAAGGTGTGTGACATTTTTACCAGGCATTGAGGGGGAGTGTTAAAAGGGCCAAAATATTTCCTTGTCCCCCGGGGCTGGGATCTTGAAGTGCTCTTCCCCTCTGTCCCTGTCTGAAATGTGGCAGCCCCTGGAGCACCTCAGCCCCTCCCTCCTCTGCAAACTGTGTGGGCTGTGGGAAGCTCCTGTTATCAGTCCTTGATTCAATTCACAGGTGTAGGATGTGGGTGAGTGGAGGAATAGCACTCTGAGATGAGGGCACGAATAGGCTATGCCGTCCTCCTTGGGCATGTTTTCTTTCTCTTGATCACTCGTACAAAAGGAAGGAGGCTGCCATGTGGAGAGAAGCTCTAGGGTGTGGCAAGGACCTGAGGTTCCTGTCCAGCACTCCCCCCTCTCAGCCTCAAGGGACTGAAACCTGCTGGTAGCATGAGTATGTTGGATGCAGATTTCATCCACAGGTAGCCTTGAGATGGCTGCAGTCCTTAACCTGTGAGCCAAGGCCCAAGCTTAGCTACTCCTAGATCCCTGCCACTGGGACAGTGAGAAAAGACATGTTTGTCTCCTGCTCCTGTGTTTGGGGGCAATTTGTTGCACAGCAATAGATAGCTGATGCATGTGCTTATGGAGAAGAGTCGTATTGTTGAAGTATTTAGAGATGAAATTTCATGATAGCAAATATTTATTTTTTCTTAATTCTTTTTTTTTTTTTTTTACATTTTTGAGCATTACAATGTATGACTGAATGGAAGACAGATGAATTATGCATTAATCTCACAGCTGCTTCTACATTTGGTCTGTTGTAGTATCACCTGTCATGTAACCTGTGGAAAATTCCACTGTCCACCCATGAGAGAAAGGGCTTAGAAAAAGGCACATAACAGCTTAAGGTTATTATAAAAGTATTTCTGATACCATGAATCTTATTAAAGTGCCTTGGGCACCTCAGGGAGCCCCCAGACCATACTTTGAAAATCATCATTCTAGATCAATGATTTACTTGTAATGGTTTAGTGAAATGAACAGAGAGAAAAAGAGATGAGGCAGGTACGGCCAAAGAGGAACAACTGATGGATCTGGTGTCATTTTTTAAAATTCTTCTGCATAATGTTCTGTGTATTTGAAAATACTTACAATAAAATATTAAAGAAAGAAACGCAGGCTCTTAGATGGGGGGTTCTGGTTGAGTCGTCCTGGGGTGAGGCTCAGGGGAGCATTTGAAACCTGTGCTCCAAGTGCCCCTGAGCACATGAGCCTGAGAGTCCCTCCCTGCTGCCCCAGGGCTCCCTAACCTTCTGTCCTACCTCCACCCCTCAGCCTTGCCAAACCAGAGGGGCTGTAGTGACGATGTGTATCTTCTACCACAACTGATGGTGGTGGGCTGTGGGGACAGCCCCTCTCCCACCTCTGCCGCTTCCTCCTCAGCAAAATACGGTGTTGGCTGTGGGAAGCTCCTGTTATCAGCCCTTTGCTTAACCATATTGGCAGCAGGCGGCTGGACAGAAGCTCCTTTCTATGAGTGGGCATGTTTTTTAATTTTTGTAATGAATTGTTTTTTGTTGAAATGGTAATACATGCACGGGGTGAGAATTTCAAGGTTACGCAAAGAACCGTTTCCTCTCATTCCTGGCCTCTGATCCCTCTCTTTCCTAAGGCAACCACCAGTAACTTTCTTATACATATATAGTTTCAGAAAATGTCTGTGGAAACTGAACTATCTAACGTTTATGTTCCTTTCTTTTTACTGTGCCTCTTTTCTTTCTAGGGGTATAATTTTCACTGAGTAAAATATATGGGTCTTACTTTAGCTGCTTTCGACAGATCAGAACAGAACAGTACCAGTAGCCCAGTGGGTCCCCATCTTGGCCCACAACCACCACTTTGCTTCTGGTAAGCCCACGTGTTACCCATACTTGAACTCCATGTAGAAGGAATTGTACAATGTGTACACTTTGTATCTGGCTGCTTTCACTCCATATGATTTTGAGATTCATCCATGTTGTTTTGTGAAGCAGTAATTCATTCCACTTTCTTGTAAATAACACTTTTAGAGAGAAAATGGGAGCACTTGATACATTCTCCTCTCTTACTATTGCTGTACCAGCAGCACACTGTGAGTGTGCTCCGTGGTGTGGACAATATGGTAATTTATGTAATTGGTCCTTGATTGATGGACATATGCAATAGCCAATCTTTTAGACTCAGTAACAGTGGTGTTATATGAATGCAAAAATGTGGGCAGAGGAAGAGAGCCTCTGGGGTGAACAGAATTTAGATGTTGGGAGTGAGTTTCAGAATGAAAATAGCCCTTATATTACACATACGAGGCAGAGGTGGCCAGAGAAGTCTGGTGCCCAAGGTCATATGAGTGATCTGGACAGAGCTGTGGAACAACCAAGGGGTCTTGATGTATAGAATGTTGTTCTTCCACTCTACCCTCTATGAGGGCAAGAACCATGCTTGCCTTATTTCATCCTCTATGCACATTTTAGTGATCATTAAATATTGGGAAAATAAGTGATACATTACTGTCTGAGAAAAGGCCATCAACATTATATGGATTACAAAGGCATTTCCATAAGACATAAGCCTCAATATTCACTCATTCATTTATTTATTCACTCATTTCTTTTTCATTTCACAAGTATTCCTTGGGTCCTTGGTATGTGTCTAGACAGAGTTTCTCAACCTTGATACTATGGATACTTGGGGTTGGCCGATTCTCTGGTGGGGACTATCCTATGCAGTGTAGGGTGTTTAATAGCACCCCTGGCCTCCACCCACTTAGCAACCCCTCCAATTGTGAAAAACAGAAGTGTCTCCAGATTGTCAAATGTCCCCTGGGCATAATGATTGAGGCAATGATAAGCCTAAGTGGTGGGATAGGAGGTGGAATCAAATGGACAAAGCTCATGCCCTTGAAGAACTGTCATTGGAGCTAAAGAGAAACTAACTGTTTTATAGGTTATGCTATTGAGTGAAAGATGAGGAGGTAAAGGATGGGCAGCAGTTCTTGAGAGTAAGGTGCCTGACTGCTGCGTGAATTGAACCTAAGTTTGTTTTGTTTTTTTGAGACAAGGTTTTACTATGTATCCCAGGCTGGCCCTGAACTCAGAATCCTCCTACCTCAGCTTCCTAAGTGCTGGGCTTACAAGTGGTGCATACCAGTGAGCTCAGCTTGAACCTAAGTTTGAGACCAGATCCTTTCCTGGAAGAGGTGACTTTAACTCCTCCTGAAGCTACAAAGAGGGGCATCCTGGATGGCTGGGGTCAGGCCCTTGGACCCATGCCTGAGACGACCCAGCCACCAGAGCAACAGTAGAGAGAAGAAGGCTGCATGGTGGGCTGCAGCTCAGGTGCTCAAATTGGGGCTTGGCTGACTGAGAGCAGAGCCCAGAGGCCTAGTTTGCCTGTTCCCTGGGGCAGCTCGCTGGTAGCCTGTAGCCTGTCTCGTGTCACCTGGCTGTGGGTACTTGCCAACTTGTCCGTCACAGTGGCCTCTGCTACCTGTGTTAGTGCTTTCTTCTTGGATCTTAGTTTCTTCCCTTCTGGGTTCATTTGGTCAAGTGTGACACTTAGTTTTCCTTGTCCAGTGTAACCCTTGGAGACGCTGGTTGGACTAACAGGGCTTTGTGGTCAGGATACAGGAAGCCCAGCCACAATGAGTAATTTTTCTTCTTAGCTTAGTCATACCTTTCATTAGCACCCCTTCCCCCCAAACATGCAAACTGACTGAAATGTCAGCTGTCACCTCAGCCACAGGGGCCTTCTTTGCTTCAGCAGCCAGCCTGAGGACACGGGGAGAGCCCATCAAAGCTGTGTTCCATGCCTCTCAGCATGTACCCTTTATAAACTTGCTGGTCAGGAGTGTCTACTTCAGCTTTTATCTTTGAGGGAATGTGCCACAGGTAAGCAGAAAATCAATCGACTCTTCTTGTGGAGAAAAACCTTGTAAAAAAATGGCCACCAGAAGGCCAGTCCTCGTGGTTCAAGGAGAGGGAGAAACATGGGATGGCATTTCCCTCTAGCATAATCTTTGGCAGCATTCATGGGTTGGATTTTGTCCCCCTCCAAATTCCTATGTTGAAATTGTAACCCTTAGTACTTCCAAAAGCGACATTAGTTGGAGTTAGGGTTTTTCCAGAAGTAATCAAGTTGGAATACGGTCTTTAGGGTGGATTCTGATCCAGTACCACCAGTGTCCTTACATGAAGAGGATATTTGGACACAGACACACACAGAGGGATGACACAGGAAGAAGACGGTCTCTGAAAGCCAAGGAGAGAGGCTGGATCCTTCATCAGAGCCCGCAGAAGGAAACACCTGAGGAACCTTGATCTCCAGCTTCTGGCCTCCAGAGCTGTGAGACATTAAGTTCCTGTCATCTGAGCCCCCCAGTCTGTGGTACTTCATCCACAGCTTTAGAAAACAAACACAGCAGTATTTTTTTGTGGGTGTGTGAGCCTTCGTTCACTTGGGAGGTTAGGGGGTGAACCATTTTTGTCTTTGACAAGTTTGGAAGGAGTGTGGCCCACAGTAGAAACTGGGAGCTCTAGGGCTCTGAGGTGACTGAGGTCTGGCAGGCCAGGGTGGAGCCTTACACCTGGGCTCAATCCAGCAGCCCCCAAGATTTAACCTCTCTTCTGCCTCAGTTTTCTCATCTGTAAGTTGGGCCTAAGGGTAATAATTCACTTCATAGGGTGACAGGAGCCCAGTGAATACACGTAGAGTGCTTAGAACAGCGCCCGGCACACTGTGGGCCCTGTGCTAAGTATTTGTTGTTATTATTAATCAGAAGGAGTCCCTGGGGACATTCGAAATTGTTGGCTCTCAGCACTGGCAACACAGACCTCAGGGCACTGTGGGTCAGGGTGTGAGAACACTGAGTTGATTGTGTCACCCAGGGCCACATATGGCTGGCCTCCCCTCCCTTCTAGCAGGCGGGCTGGGTTTCTGTATAGCTGTGTGGGCCTGGGGCCGTAGGAATCCTGCCCTGCCCACACCAGCTCACCAGACTGGTGGTAGAAGGGCCCCCAGGAGTGCAGTGGGCCAGGGAGGAAGAAGGAGGAGGAGAAAGGAAGCGAACCTCTCTGCATTCTCTCTGTAGCCCACATGCACTTTTGGAATAAGCCAAGCTGAAGTCTCCTGGAGTTCATGCACAAGTTTTATTCCTAGCCACCCTCTGTTGGAGACTATCTTTGGTTCTGTGGTCGTTAGCCCCTTGCTGGATGGCCACCAGAGGGTTCCTGTCACCGCCAATACCTCAGTCTTCTCTCCAGGGAAGCCAGGTCGGGGTTTGAAGAGTTAGCTGGAAGGGGTGAATGAATCACCACCCCTCACCACCCTAAAGATGGCTGCACTCTTAAAGTGAGACTCAGTGATCTCAAATGAACTTGACATTGCTGGGGTTTCAGGTGAGGCAGAAAAGCTTCAAGTGGTATGGGAGTGACCTCCCGATTGTGGTGATATCCTACCTGGTTGCCTCATGGCCACTTGTAGTCCTCTCCGTCACTGAGTCCCTCGGGCTGAGGATACTCTGTCCATCCTCATAAGTGTGCAGTCCGTGGCTTTCTCTGCATGTAATGCGTCTTTTTGCTCTCACTGCTTTTCAGATGCCCCCTCCCTTCTTTAACTAGTTTTATCAACTTGTTTCTGATATGCCTGGTGTTGCTTTCCTTTGTGTGTGTGTGTGTGTGTATGTGTGTGTACTGGGAGTTCCTTGAGCTTCTGGAACCTGTGGGATTATAGTTTAAATCTTTCTATACAAAAGACTTCCTATGGTAAATGTTCTGGTTAAGTACTAAAAATTTATTTCAAAGCAACTTCCTGAGAGAGTTTAAAGTGATTTTTTTGTAGTGTTGGGGATCTAATCCAGGGCTTTGACAAATGTTCTGCCACTGAGCTACATCCCTGACCTGACCCCTTGAAGGGATTTTTAAACCAGCTTCCCTCTGGAGCTCTCTACTTGCATGAGACTGGCAAATGAGGGTTTGTCTGGTGGGCTGCTTAAGGAACTTTCAGATTATGGCACTTTCAGCCTCTATTACAGCTTCAGACTTCTTTGCTTGGGCCCCAGTGACTCTGTGTCAAATGTGTGAGGTCAGCTGCCAGCCAAGATGCTCGCCTGCTTTTCTTAGGAGGATGTCAGTCTTTGTCAGCCCAATGTTGTTCATGGGTGAAAACTAGTAAGAGAAAAATCAAAATGAATTAAAAATTAAAAAACAAACCCAGTAGGAAAAGGCAAGTTATGCCCTTCAGACCTGCATTGTTACAAATTATAAAACCGGTGGATGATGGGACAAGTTTCAAAGTCATATTTCACATGTCCCATGACTATGGTTGGGTTTCCATAGTCATTCAGTGCTCTCTATGTGCACTGATAAAATTTTGTTGATTGCTCTTATGTAGATTCTTGAGCACATCTCTACAGAGATGTCCAAAGCATTTAACTGACTGCTTGATAGAGTTTATACCTAAAGGTGGATAAAGTATCAGTAACACCCTTGGTAGATTAGGGATAGTACATGTGGCTGGCTAAGCTTTGTAGGTTCAGTGGATATTATTTCGACATAGCAGGGTTCAGCAAATCCTTCCCTTAAGGTCTGGACAGTAAATAGAGATAGTGAAAGACCTCAGCTCTTAAGGAGCTCACAGCCAAATAAGAGAGTAAGCAAGTTTGTACACAGTTACTGCAGTAAGATGCAGACTATGGATAAGATTGACATGACAAATATTTGTCACTAAAACACAATGGTAAGGATGCAGGGAAAGAAGTAGAGCAGGAAATAGGAAGAAAATAAGAGGTTATACTAGGCTGCTGCTTCTCCAAGTGTGGTCCACCAAGCAGCAGGTGGTGGGTGGCGGGCCCTGGAGCTCTGTGTTGTTCCTGC